ATTTATACAATTAATTTACTTATTTCCAATATATTACCTTTCAATAAAGGTATCAAAACAAAAATACAAGCAAATATATTATAAAAACAATGTTTTATAAATAAATTAATAATATAAAATTAAAATAATAGGTGTCACCACCTGAAAATAGATGCCCAGGGCATGGCAGAGGCAGGGCAGGCATTTGGCAAAATTGACATCTATTGTTTATGCCTGCCATTTTTAAAACCCTGCCATATCACAGTAATGTATAACAGGGGAAAGCACATTGCTTTCCCCCACAGTCACCCTTATGTCGTAACTACTACTATATTATATTAGTTTAACTTAATATACAATAATTTATCAATTATATTGCATATATAATATAATAAATAGCATTATAATAATATAAATTAATATAACACTTTTCAAACATATAAAAACAATTTTTATTTCAATTAAGTTAGATTTTGTTTAAAATATAAATTATATTAGGACAGTAGATATATAATTAGTATAAGCATCAAAACTGTAAATTATGACAAAACTTTTATTATTAAACAAAAGTACACTTATTTTTAGTCATAAATACAAATTTTCACAACATTTGCTCATTTGGTTCAGTTTTGGTGACTTCTTAAAGTGTTCAATGTCTGAAAAAACCATAAATTTTGCTTCTCGTGATTTTCGGGCAATAATTGCCTATTGTTATCGGCGCGCGCTGACGGCACAGGAGGCGACAGATGAAATTAATGACACATTGGGATCAAATACTGTTATTTACTCTACAGTAACGCATTGGTATCGAGAGTTCAAATTTGGTCGTACATCACTTGAGGACATGCCGAAGTCAGGTCGACCTCGGGAAGTGACCACCGATGAAAATGTGGCCAGAATTCGGGAACTACTTCAAGTAGATCCACGAATGACACTAATACAGATGGCATATACATTGAATATTTCAACCGAGAGAGTCCATCATATTCTACACAATTATCTTAATGCAAGACATGTTTGTGTCAAATGGGTACCCCACGTGCTGTCAGCCGACCAAATGGCCACTCGTGTTAAGATCTGCCGGGAAAACCTAAAGATATTTTCGGATGGCGGAGATCACTTTATTTATCGATTAGTGACTGGTGATGAAACATATGTGTACTTTTATGACAATTTAAACAGTAAAGAAGCAAAGTTATGGGTCATAGAAGATGAAGAGATCCCGAAGTTAGCCAAACGTGAAGTGCATGTAAAAAAGATAATGTACGCCATTTTTTTCGCTCAACCGGTATTGTGAAAATCGTTAAGTTAGGAAAGGGAGAGAAGGTTACCGCCGACTGGTATGTGAAGAAATGTTTGCCTCAAGTCTTTGAATCTGTTTGTGAGGACCGCCCGAAGTCGGGACTAACTGGTATTTTTTTGCATCACGATAATGCCCGTCCTCACAAAGCATTGGTAACAACCAAGTATCTCAAAGACAATGGTATTCGACTTCTGGCACACCCACCGTACAGTCCTGATCTGGCTCCGGCTGATTTTTGGCTTTTCAAAAACCTCAAGAAACACCTGAGAGGAACGGTATTTAATAGCGAAATTGAGATTGACATCGCTATTGAGTCATTTTTGGGAGACCTAAGTCCAGCCGACTGGCGCGGGGTCTATGAGAAGTGGGTCGACCGTATGAAACGTGTCATAAGGGCTAACGGAGACTATATTTAAATAATATTTGAAAAAAATTTGAATAAAATTGTCTTAAGCTACCGAGGCTAATTTCTTTTCTACCAATCTAATAGATAATGAAAAAACAGGTTTTTAATTAAATTTTATTTTTTAAATACACAGATATATACCAAATATAGCTATCTTTTATTTATATGATATAGTATTATATGTTAATTATGCAAAATTAATTTACATTATTTTTATAGTTACATAATAAGTAACATTGTTTAATTATCAATTAAAAATGTTGTAATATCAATAATAAAAATTTTTATAAATGATTGAAATTTAAATTAAATAATTCAATAATTTTTATATTAATAATTAATAATAATTAATGCTTAAAATAGTATTTAACATAGAGTAAACTACATATAAGATAATTTATAGTAAATTATATTAAATCAATTTATATTTTTCATTATTAATATTATATAATTTATTTGTTTTAATAATTTACTAATAATTTTGTGAAAAATATTTTATAATTTGTTTGAAATATTTTTTAATCAAAATTAAATATTAAACTAAACTATGCTATAGATTAAGTTGTTAATGTTATATTTATTATTATTATTATCTACATTCAGTAAATACCCGTTAATATTATCGGGTAATTGTCAATCATTATCATCATCATCATCACTATCAATACTTGATAAACATGGAAAACCAACTGGCTTATTTGAATATAGATATTATCATGGTCAATTAAAGCTAAAACATTTTCCACTAAGTTTGGAAAAAATATTTTATTTAAACAAATTTAATTCAAGTCATTACTTGATTAGCTATGATGACCAACTGTCCTATAATTTGATAATACCTATTGAAAATATTTATAGATATAAAATAAATAGCAGTTCATATAGTAAGTATAATTATTTAAAAAAATTAATTATATTTTGTAATTAATTATATTTTTATTTATTTTTTTTGTTAATAAACAAAACCAAAGCTCAAACTATTGAAGATATGATACCAATTGATAAATTTGATGTGAATTTTGTTGTCAAAGATATTCAATTCAAACAATCATTACATGTAATCGAAAAATTTTTTTTATTAATTAAATTATTTTAATTATATATAAATAAATTTTACTGTATTATAATATTTAGGATATTTTAGGCAACAATACGACACTAAAACATGTAAATACAGTAAAATCAATGACAATTGAAAATCCAAGCAATGCTGAAATCACCCAATCGTTTGAACAGTCGGTGAAAAAAGTTTATAAAAGTCAGATATCAATGGCCAACCATTGGCAACATTTAGCCGGATTACAGGTACGAATGAAACTGGAGTTCAAAGCACAGGCAGGCATACCCTTGGCTACTAAAACACAATTCATGGCAAGTTTAGGTGTCGACAGTGAATACGAGTATCGATGGGGTAGTTATATAACTGAAACGGTTAGCCAAACACGTGAGGAAACCTATAGTTTTGAACAGTCCATACATGTTAGAGGCCGGACATCTGTTCGGGTGATGGCTTATGTCGAAACTATTGAAAACATGCAATTGCCGTACACCGCAAAACTATTTATCAGAGCCAATGGACCCATGTTTCGGGGATTACGGTCACTGAGTGCCCGACTAGTGGCCGCACTGTTCAATGCAACCATCAATCAGACGGCACAAGTAGTTGACGACTACCAGATAGTTATGCCAATCACTGGTGAATATTTGGGCTCTTTTGGTATCAATTCGTATATCGGTGTCCATGATATTGATGGTACAGATAGTAAACAAATAATTGTTAGCTCAGCCAACCATACTGTCCATTGTTTCAATTATTATTATTATTCAAACAAATTATTTATTATATATGTTTTAACTTTTGTTAACTATTTTTTTAATAAACTAAATGTTTAAATTAATTTTTTATATTTTATTAAAAATAATTTGATAGTTAATTTAGTAGAGTAGTTAATTTTTCAATATTAATAGTTTTTTTTTTAAACTTACAAACAAGTTACCAAATTTACAAACTAAAGTTATAATGTTAAATGTTATTATATATATATATTAATTAGTTTGTTAATTACTAAATTATACAGGGACATCTTTCAAAATAATACATATAATACTGTATAATATATATTACTAATTAGAAATAATTAGTAATATATAGATAAAATATAAATAAATAAAAATAAAAAAAATATATTTTAAAGTTTGATGTTATTATTATACCCAAAATTATTTTTTTAATATTAGTTTTAAATGATTTGCATAGTTTTTAATATAAGATATATACGATAGATCTCTTAATATAAATGATATAAATACATAATATCGTCAACAAATGTTTATTATTATTATTTTTTATAAATCAATGCTAAATATTTACCTATATGTTATTTGATTATACATGATATGATTATTTGTGAAAATAAATGTGATATACATAAATGTGTATAAAATACAATAACAATACCATTAATCTATTGATAATCAAACACATATTTTTTAAACTAATGGTTTATCAAATAATTTATATTTTAGTTTACAGTGAAATTTTTTTAGATGAATAACAAATAAATCAATTTTTTTTAATTATTTGTGTCATTGTAATTTATTATTAATAAATATAATATAATTAAATAAATTAGAAGACTATGATTTTATTTTTTTTAATTACAGTATTTATTAGATTATTATTATGATGTCATCAAAGTGTCAATAAAATTATATTTTAATGTCATAGTACTGTAATAATTATTTTTTTATACATTCAATTTATTATTATTATTATTTAAGGTTATTATGGGTTAATAATTTTCAATACTTTATAAATAAGATAAAAATTAAAAAAATATTACCTGTATACAATTAAATTTTAACTTAAATAAATAAAATATATGAAATAGATAAAACTGAATTGTTAACTTAAATAAATAAATTTAAAAAAAAACTTTTTTATATATTTTTACACACATCAATTAATTAAGTAAATCATTATAACATTCAAATGTCAATTAAACCATATTTATTTAACAGTTTTAATGTCAACTAATAATTAATTATCTCAACAACAACAAAAGTTAACTAAAATATTTTTGCCCGAAAAATAACATTTTTTATTATTATTATTATTTTTGCTGACATCACATACACAATAAATATTGTAAAAAACAAACATAAAAAAACAAATTAATAAACTTTATAAATATTTTACTACATATACTGTACATTTGTACAAATTGAAGGGTTATTAATTATCTAAAGGGGGTTATATTGTACACTGTGTGTGTCTATATATATAAACCCAGTTAGATTTTTTTCACATAAACTAATCAAGTTGGTATTAAATTAACTTTGTAAAAATTTTTTTAAAAATTAAAAATCACTTTAAATTAATTAACATGTCCAAATTTGTATCAATTGCAATTGCATTGCTAACAGTTAGCATTATTGAATGCAAAGTTGGTATGTATAAAATTATTTAATTTTTTATTATTATTTTTTAATATGACTGTCCCCACCAACTCACTCACCCTTATCTAATCAAATTATTTTTTTTAAAAAAAACCTAACTGTCCCATTATATATAATTAGATGTAAAATTTGCACCCTATTTCTACGTACAAAATGGCATCGATTTGGCTAATGTTAAACAACAGACAGGCATACAGGGCCTGACACTGGCCTTTGCATTGGCACAGTGGGGCTCATGTACCCCAAGCTTTGATGCCGGTCCAGTTGACAGCCCGGCCCTAGTCCAACAGTTCAACAATTTTCGCAACTCAGGCGGTCAGATTATACTGTCCACCGGAGGAGCTGCCGGTACCTATTTGGACAATGTGTGCGGTAATGCCGATAATTTGGCCAATGCCTACATCAAGGCTATCAAGTCGACCGGTGCCGTTGGTCTGGATCTCGATATTGAAGAGGACATACCCTACGATATAGTGATGCAAGCGGTAAAAAAAGTTCAACAACAGACCGGCGTTACCGTCAGCATCACTGTTGCCGTAAGTTTACTGTATATATACATTATGTAGACTACTATACCATTTTCATTAGCTATTAACATACCTGTCCATAAAAAATATATTTTTAATTAATTAATAGTAAATATAAGCTATTGTTTCTAATACTTTTAACTATATTAATATTCTAACATTTTTGAATAACTGTACTTGTAATATAACAGTAACACACACATACATACACACTCACTCACTCACTCACTCACTCTCTCTCTCACTCACTCACTCACTCACTCACTCACTCACTCACTCACTCACTCACTCACTCACTCACTCACTCACTCACTCACTCACTCACTCACTCACTCACTCACTCACTCACTCACTCACTCACTCACTCACTCACTCACTCACTCACTCACTCACTCACTCACTCACTCACTCACATACTTGTGCTCAGCAAATATAATAAATATTAAGTATTATTAATAATAATATTATTATATAGTCCGATGAAAATGGTCTGGGAGCCCGAGCCAAATTGGCCATAGAGGCAGCAAAACGTGCCGGCACTACTATCGATCTGGTCAACCCGATGGCCATGGATTTCCCGAAATCGCCAAACTCTCCGACCTATGGCCAGGCAGTGGTCAACTGTGCCGAAGCAGTCAAACGTCAACTTCAACAATATTGGCCCCAGAAATCGTCGGCCCAATTGTATGGCATGTTAGGCGTTACACCAATGATCGGTGTCAATGATTGTTGCGGTGCACTGTTCACACTCAACGATGCCCAACAACTGCTACAGTATGCCCGTACCAATCGTATTGGTCGTATAGGCTTCTGGAGCCTGAATCGTGACCAACAGTGTCCGGGCGGTAGTCAACAATTATCGGCTACCTGTTCCGGTGTACAACAATCTAGCTATCAATTTGCCAAAACTTTAGCGCAGTTTAAATAAATAAATAAAAATATTATTGTTTGTTAAACTAATTATATTATTAGAAAATAATGATATATCAATAATACTAGTTGTTATAAATTAAAATGTAATATAATATTATTATACTGTATTAAAAAAAAATTAATTAACTAACTAAATAACATAATTATTAATTATAAATTAATTAACTTATTATAATTAATTACTAAACAAATTGAATTGCTATTGCTAAATTTATAGCTATTTTAAAACCTTTTTTTTAATTTAAATATAGAAATAAAATACTTTTAAAAATTTCCATAAAACAAACTTATATTAATTCAATGTATAAAATTTATATATATATATATCGTATATTGTATATGTATAAGTTATATGTCTACGTGATGATTGAAGTTTTAATAAAATAAAATAAAATCATATTTAGTTATCAAAATATAAAAAATAATATACAATAATTAAATTTACACACACACACACATAATTTAGATAATTTAGTCTACAAACTTACCAAGTACAAATTTATTTATGTATACAACTAATAATTAAATATTTATTTTATTTATATTTAATAAAAACTAAACCAAATGTTGACATTTCTATCAATTAGTTCGACATTGTTTGCAGTTAACCTAATTGAATGCAATAAAGTTGGTTTGTATATATTTATTATTATTATTATTATACCCTGTATATGACTTTCATCATCCCTTTCCTTCCCAAAAATTAAACCTACCTGTCCCTTGTTTTGTTTTTTGACTTAGATGTAAAATTTGTATCATATTTTTATGTGCAAACTGGCATCGATTTGCTTAACATTAAGCAACAGACTGGCATACAGGCCCTGACAGTGGCCTTTGCATTGGCACAGGTAGGCGGCTCGTGTACCCCCAGCTTTAATACGGTTCCAGTTGATAGTCCAGTGCTTGTCCAACAATTCAACAATTTTCGTAACTCAAACGGTCAGATCATACTGTCAACTGGCGGAGCTATCGGTACCTATTTGGACAACGTTTGCAGTAATTCAGACAATTTGGCCGATGCCTACATCAAGGCTATTCAGGCTACCGGTGCTGTTGGTCTGGATCTCGATATCGAACAGGACATACCCTACGATATGGTGATGCAAGCGGTAAAAATGGTTCAACAACAGCTAATTGGTCTTACCGTCAGCATCACTGTTGCCGTAAGTTTTATATATATATATATATATATATATATATATATATATATATATATATATATATATATATATATATATATATATATAGACTACCTATACTTTTTAACTAACCTAACATACCTGCTAATCAAAATATATATTTAATTATAAATAACTTTATCATAAACTATATATTTCTATACATTTATATACAGCTTTATACAGGTCTAACAATTATCAACACACACACATATATATATACTTAAATACTAAACATAAATACATATACAGTATACTGTATATACAGGACATACTGTACTTGTGCTCAAATAATAATTATTAATAATATTATTATTATATAGTCTAATGAAAATGGCCTGGGAGCCCGAGCCAAACTGGTCATACAAGCAGCACAGCGTTCAGGTACTACAATCGATCTGGTCAATACGATGGCCATGGATTTCCCGAAATCGCCGCTGACTCCGACCTATGGCCAAGCAGTTGTCAATTGTGCCGAATCAGTCAAACATCAACTTCAACAATATTGGCCACAGAAATCTTCCGGTCAATTGTATGGCATGTTAGGCGTTACACCAATGATCGGTGTCAACGATTGCTGCGACGGTGCACTGTTCACACTCAACGATAGCCAACTACTGCTACAATATGCCCGCACTAATCGTATAGGTCGCCTAAGCTTATGGAGCCTGAATCGCGACAAACAGTGTCCGGGCGGTAGTCGACAATTGTCGCCTACCTGTTCCGGTATCCAACAATCAAACTATGAATTTGCCAAAATTTTAGGACAGTTTAAATAAATACAAATATAGCAATCAATTGGCTTTTAACTGTTCAGGTATTCAATAGTTCGCCTACGAGTTTGTCAAATAGTAGTTACAGTAAATAATATCAATAATAGTAATATAATGTAATTACTATTTATTTTATGAAAACAATTTTTTCATATAATTAATTTATTACTAATCAATTGTTTCAGTTTTTATTATTGTTGTTGTTTTTGTGATTAAATTATATTGTTTCGTCTATAAATAAATTATTTTTTATCATTTGCAATATTAATAATTACTTAATTAGAATATTTTAAATATTTTTATTATTTTTTAATAAATAAATAGTTATTTTTATTAAATAACTTTATATATCTATACTAATATGCTATTAATAGAAATATACTGTAAAAAATAAAATTGTCTAAATTTAATATCTATATATAAATAGTAATGTATATGAAATGTGTCAATAATATTATTGACAAAATTTATAATTCAATTAAACATTGTTTTTATACATGAAATACTATTGTAATAACAAATATGTATATATATAATTATTTAAAAAAATCTACTATCAATTTATAGTAAATAAACTAGTTTATTTGTTTATCGCCACTGCAATAGAAATAAATATTATATTATCAATATATTATTATTTTTCTAATAAGTAAATAAATAATTTGAAAAAAACAATTTATAATTATGCTAGATAAATTATACAAGAATAATATAAATATTATTATTAAATAAAATATATTTAAATAAATTTTTTACATTTTAAACCCAAAAAAAATGTCTAGCTTAAAAGTACTATTGATAAATTAGAACTTTATTTTTGTAAAAATATTTTTAATTTAACAGTTATATTGTTTATTAATTATTATTATCATCACAAATGTGTGCTAGATAAATTAATCAAATTGTTAAAATAGCAACTGTACTTGATGCTAATTGTACGCAGAAATAATCATATCGTTAAAAAATAATAATAATTATTATTATTATTATATAGTTGTTTTTCAATATTTTTTATGTGCTTGAGCAAATATCTATATTTGATTATCAACAACAACAACAACAAAATAAATGTGTCCTGTTTAATTAATTATCGCTCAAAATTATTGTGAAAAATACTATCAATATAATAAACTATTGATTTAATTGTACATGTTGTATTATATATATATATTTAAAAAAATATAATATTTGATAATTACTAATTTGATAAGCCATTAAGTAATTTATCTTATTGTTATTAATATTTATATAGTATTATTATTGTTTCTATGTTGAAATTTACTATAAATAGCAAAAGTGAAACTGATTTTTTAAAAAAATATATATTATTTTTACCCAGATACACATTATATACAGTATATTGTTAAAAAAAATTTTTTTAAATGAACAAGTTTATATTAGTATCGACAATATTGTGCCTGGTGGCATTAATTGAATCTAAACGAGGTAGATTAATTTTAAATTATTGTTTTTTAAAAATTATAATTAATTAATTTTATAAATTAATTAAAAATGTAAATATTACTATAGAAATCAAAGAATATATTATTATTATTATTATCAACTTATTATTAATAATATTATTACTATTATTATTTTACTTTAACGCCTCTATCTCCCACCCCCCCCCCAATTTTTATAGAGGTAAAATTTGCGCCCTACATATACCTGGAGCATGGCATCGATTTTGTTAAACTAAAAAACGATGCCCACCTAACTGGTATATCATTAGCATTTGCCCTGGGTGGTAGTAATTGTGTACCGCACTGGGATGCCGGTTCAATCGACGACAAAGATCTGGTCAAACAGTTTCACGCATTCAAACAGGCCGGCGGTCAGATCATCGTATCATCGGGCGGTGCCGACGGCAAGTATATTGAAAATTCGTGCGGCGGTGACAGCAATCGATTGGCCGCGGCCTACAAACGTGTTATCGAAGTTACCGGAGCTGTCGGCTTGGATTTGGACTTTGAGGAAACTGTCAATTTGGATATGGTTATGGCTGCCGTCAAGATTGTCCAACAGCAAACCGGTGTTACCGTTAGTCTAACACTTGGGGTAAGTGTATAAAACAATTGGTATTTTTGTTTGTCAAACATACTCAAACACACACACACATACATACTCACACACACACATACTCACACATACATACTCACACATACATAATCACACATACATAATCACACATACATAATCACACATACATACTCAAACACACACACATACATACTCACACACACACACACATACTCACATACACATACTCACACACACACATACTCACACATACATACTCACACATACATACTCACACATACATAATCACACATACATAATCACACATACATACTCACACATACAAACATATACATATACATACTCACACATACAAACATAAATACTGTACATACATATAAAAAAATCTAATCATAAACATTAATCCACAACAACAACAACAAAAAATAAGTCTATTAACTATTATCAAACTATATATGCCCGCACCCGTATAGGCCGATGAAAATGGACTGGGAGGCACACAGATGAACGTTGTCCGGGCGGCCATCAAACACGGTGTCGACGTCGACATTGTCAACCCGATGGCCATGGACTACAACAAGTCATCGAAATACAGGACATGGGGTGATTCGGTTATCGGGTGCGTTGAGGCCGTTCACCGACAAATGAAACAAGAACTATGGCCGGGCAAGTCGGACGCGGAACTGTACTCACGATTGGGTGTAACACCGATGATCGGTGAAAACGATTGTTGTAATGCCAAGTTTACTACCGATCACGCCCGCCAATTGTTGCAATGGGCCAAACAAAAAGGATTGGGTCATATCGGGTTCTGGTCAGTCAATCGGGATCACCAGTGTCACGGCAGTGAGTCCCAGACAAATGCACCGTCCGATAAATGTTCGGGTGTACCCCAACAAAACTATGAGTTTAGCCATATATTTGATATGTTATAATTAGTTACTGTATATATGATATAAGGCACTGGTATGTGTCATACTTTAAATATATCTTTATATTATACAATATTTTTTTTTTGAATTGAGATATAATATACTAATATATTTGTGTATTATTATTGTCTAACATCACACATAATTGTTAAAGTATTATATTATTAATTATAATAATATATAACAATTTTTAAATTATTATTTAACAATAAATAATAATAACAATAAAAAAATTAAAAAAATGCCATTTTTTAATAATTATTTTTTAAAAATAAATATTCATAAACTGTTAGTTTATTAGTTTGTTAATTTATTTTGAATTTAATAATTAATAATATTATTTAATTTATTTATAAACTAGTAATAAAATTTTATTTTTATTATAAATATTAGATTTTATTAAAATTACTATAAATTGATAAAAAAAAATACTTCATCAACACAATCAATTTAATTAACATAATAATAGATAACCAAAATAAATTATACTTATGATTTTTTCAGAGCAAAAATGCATTTTTTATATCATATTTAAAGTATATAATTGTCTAATAATTATAAATCATATTTTAGTCATATAAGTAATTAACAACAAAAAAAATTTGAGTTCCGGTATCATTGTCTACAATTTTATTTTTTTATATTAATAATTACACTTTTTTTTGGATCCATTACTATGAAGGGATAAAAAATAAAAAATTTAAATTTACTGTTAAAAAACATTTATTTAAAAACTATGGGACAAGTGATCACATTATTATAGACAACACAACCATAATAATTAAATTAAAGTTACAGTTTATATATGAGTGTAAAAACTATTAGATATTTCTAGAAATGTAATTAATCTAAAAATACATATTATATGAAATCATTTACAGGAAATCATTAACAATTAATATTAGATATCTATAAACAATATAAATATATTTTAAAATTCATATTAAAAATATTGAATTTTGATAAACATTTAAATAATTAATTTTATGTAGAAATATGTTTCTACAACTATCTATTGATATGTCCGGTAAACCAATATATATATCTATATAACTAAAAAAAATAATTTATCAACTATAATTGTTGATTTACTATATAAAAAAATAAATTAATGGAAATAAAAAACTTTAATATATATTAATTAAATTTACTATTTTTTGTTGTTGTATTAATCAAATAATTTAGATTTCAAAATAATTAATAATATGTTATTTTTAGTTGTTTTATAATGTTATGTAAAACTATAAACTAATTAATATATGATAAATCAAAATACTGTATTACAATTAGTTTATTTTTAGTTTTTAAAATATTTGATGACACTGTTTTTAATAAGTTATAACTTATTAAGTAAAAACATTATATATATATTAAATATTAATTTGATCCCGTATATATTAATAGGATAAAATAAATTAATAAACATTTATTTTTAAATATCATTATTTTTTATTATTAATAATAAGTGTTTAATAAAGTTAATTACAGTTAAAGTTATATCATTGCAATAATTAAAAAAACAACAATAATAATAATAATTAACTAAAATTTATCTTGTTGAGTTAAGATTGTGTGATTATGTATTAATTAATTTTAGTATTAGTGTCACTGTATTCATAAACTTAATACAAACTTAATAACTTATTAAAAAAATTAATTAAAAAAATCAAATCAAAATTTCAAATGTGTTTTATTTTAATTAAATTATTTCAAATCAAAATTGTGTTTTTATATTATGGTTTTATTTTCAAATAATATTATTATTGATTAATATATACTGTATATACCGCTATATATATATTTAGTATATATATATAGTATATAGGTATATACTATGTGTATATATCCCAAAAAAATGGTTGTCTATTGTCTGGCATAGACACCAACAGTGGTAACCGAACCTACCGTTCCGGTAACATTGAGTTCATCGCCATTGAGCTCCCGTACAAATGTAACCGTTTTGGTATCGCCACGATTGACCTGGGTCAACTTGTTACCCTCGATGGTCACTGTAGTCTATATATAAATATAAACAGTATATAAACAAACATATCTATATATAACAACTATCAACTGATAGCACCGGTATGTATCAGTAACTATACCTTAAACTTGCGTCCGTCGGGCAACTGGTCATCAAACTCTTCGCCCAATTTGAACTTGATTTCATGGGTTCGGTTAGGTGTCACAGTTTTGATGGTATACTCGTCACCGGTTAGGCTAATCTCCAGTTCCGGCTTAACATCCTTGGCCTTAGCGACAAACTCGTCGGGCAAGCCTTTCATATAAATTAATTAATTAAAATCATTATAAATCTAATAAAAAATTAGAAATATTTATTTTGTTTAATGATTTATTGATTGTTTTATTTTATTCTAAGTTTTTTTTATCAAATCTTTAAATTATTGAATAAATAAATATTAAGTTTATTTAAATAAATCTATTTATCATTTACTGTAATAGTATTGATTCAATTAATTTTTAAAAAATTAATTAATGATATTCAAATTACTATAGTATAAATTATGACTAACTAAAGATTATATTTTTTTTTATTATATAAATAATGATAATTATTACTATTTATTATTTAATTGATTAAATAATACTGTATTAATACTATTTAGTAAGTTTGTTGTAAACTTTTAAATTGTTTAAATTATTAATTCAAAATCATATCAAACTGTTTTAATTGTATGAAAGATATGATATATTGTATAGTCATTGTTATCATATATTATTATCACAATATATCTAATATTTTTAAAAATTATTTTACAACCGCCCATAAAAATATTAAAATTAAATAATTATCTATATATTTTTATATTATCATAGTTTTATTATTAGTATTAAATAATATATTAATAGAAAATTAAATAATATTTTTATCTAATTTATGATATATAATTAATAATTAATAACTTACCAAGCTCCTTCAAAAATGCCTCGGTATTGGTGGCCGATTGTAGTTTATATTTACCAGTAAAATCAGACATGATGAATTAATTAAATAAATTAAGCTAGCGAAAAAAAATTTAAACAACAAAATTAATTAATTAATTGATTTTTAAAAAAAAAACTTTATTATAATTTTATATCTATGCAACTCAAACAACAAATTGCAAAAATATAATACTAATAAAAAATTTTATAGACAATCTATTACTAATATAATTACTTTTTAAATAGTTGTATAAATATTATATATATATATATATATTGAGTATATGTGTTAACACAATAGTTAAAACAAAATTATTGTTATAACAACTGAATAAACTTTTCGTTTATTTTATTTTTTTTTTGTATTAAACGTACAAATTATTTAAACAGTTGTATATTTATGCCGTGACTTATATACTGTCATAAAAATTTGTAATAATAATAATAATACTAAAACTATTACAACTAGTACTACAACTACTACTATACTGATAATACAATAACTATTACCGGTATATAATTAAAATTATTATTATTATTATTAAAAAAAACTATTTTTCTAACAGTACTTTATATTATATGATGACTAGACTCCTGATATAATATTATATATATACCGCAAATATTATGTATGACTAATACAGTTATATATATATATATATATAGTATATAACTGTATATATCTAGACTACAATACAAGTACTGTATTTATCGGGTAAAACAAAAAAACAAATAATATATTGAATTGTACTGTATATATGATTATACAATATAACTTGTATAATATAATGAATTGGTACTGTATATTGATTAAATACAAGTAATAAAATTTATACACTACTACACTATAGTACAGTATAATTGATTCATGGTTGTATAGTATAGTACAAACTAGTACATTATATAGTAATATAATAAACATTTTTTTTTGTTTTTTTTGCTATGCTATGCTAATAGTTTTGTCATTATTATTATTATTATTCCTATTATTATTATGTATATTGCACCGGTAGTTTTTTTTACCCATACATGTATACTGTTTAATGCATTTATTGATTTTATAAGTCTATTGCAACAGTTATTTGCAAATCTATGTTAATTGTTTTCTAGATATTTCAGATTTATTATTACATATATACATACATTTATCATTTATATTATAGTAAAATATTTTTTTTTAATAAAACTATTTATATACAGGTGTATTATATCAATAGAAAAGCTTTTATTTTTTATTTTTTTATTTTATTATATTTAAAATTCAGTAAAAATTATATATTTTTTAAATATTTATATAAAGTATTTTTTATTTTAAATAATTAGTTAAATTAACTTTATTTTTTATTATTATTAATATTATTGCATAAGCATTGGCGCCAATGTTTATACATATATATATTTAATGAGATTATAGGTCAAGTAATTTGTTTCAATTGAAATTTGTTTTTATTTAATTAATATATACTGTTTATAGTATATAACAAGTAGTTATAAAATTATTAGATATCTATTAATTTTTTTTAAGAGTACAAAAAACGGTTTTATAATTGATAATTAAAATTTTGATAAACTTGAAACGTTGTATTTTATAATTATATGACAAAAATAAAATTAGACATTTAGTAAACTATGATCTTTACAAATGATAATAAAATGTGACAAAAAATAATAATTACAATTATATCAACTATAGTATATAAGTTATCATAGATAAAAATATAATATTCATACTATAGATTTACTGCATAATAATATACATGTATATTACTGTAATAATACCGGTATATTTAATATATATACACTTATATTATATGAAACACAGATATAAATATTGAATATTTATTGATTAATATAAAAAAAAAATTATTCATATTACTATAAATAATTAACCGTTATATTGATTAAATAATAATAATTTTTTGTCTCAATAATAAAAATAAAAAAACAATTAAATTCATACAAAATATTAATAGAATAAAATATTTTTAAAAAGCAAAAATACTCAAATTATAACTATTATTATAATTGTTTTAAACATTGATTGATTGATTTATTTAAATAAATAATTTTAAATAATTTTATTTCTAAAATGTTTGCAATTTTTTTTATCTATTATTATAATTTATAGTTAACTACATTTACATTTTTAATAAGAAATCACTACTACTATTACTATTATTAGTATTATTATTACTGTATTATCTATACTATTGTTATTACCGGTATTATTTCAATATAATGTGCAAAAAAACCATTATCATAGTATTAATAATTACAAACATTTTATACCCCTGCACATTTCTAGTTAATCAAAATTAATAAACAATGACAAATATATTGTAAAAATATTTTTTTTAAATTATATAATTTGAAATACTATCTAATACTATTTTATAAATAATATATTAACGGTAGTTTAGATTAATGTTTTTAAATAATTGCAAAAATGTTATTTATTTAAAATAATAGTTTCAAATTTTTTATATAAATTAAAATTACTTTATCTATTTTCTTAAAAAATAAATTAATAATAAAAAATATTTATAGCATATAAATAGTATTAAAAGTTAGTTGTATTATAATTTTATAAGTAAATTGATTCACAAAAAAAATAAATGTACCGGTAATAGTAAATTTAATTAATAATAATAATGTATAATGATTATAATGTATATAATAATTTAATAATTAATTAATTAAATATATTTATTTATAAGTATCAGTAATAATAATAAACTTAAATTATTATAAGTACTTTACTAATTGTAAAATTATTTTTTAACTAATTAAGTTTAATTTTACAAAATTAGACAAATTAACTCAAATGAGAAAAAATAATATAAATTTAAAAAAAAATTATTTTTAAAAATATATATATTCAATATATATGATACTGTAATTATGGTAAATTTTTAGATTTAGTTAACAAAAAAATGTCAATTAATTAAAAAAAATATCATAAAAAATAATCTTGTTAAAATTTAAAAATTAATTTTTTATTTATTTATGTCACCAAAAAAATTCTTAAAAATGAAAGAAAACACACAATAAAAAAATTATATATAAATATATATCAAAAAACATTTTTATATGGAAATTGTTATATACTTTAACGTATACTTTAATCAATCATTCAATCAATATTACTGTTTATATTAATATATATAAATAGGAGACAATAGTTTAGATTTAGTATTTTTTTGGTATTGTTTTCAGAAAAAAACTAACTATTAATCAGATATTGTTATTACTGTAATAATAATAATATCAATCTATGGGAGGAGTGGCACAAAAAAAACAAATAATAATAATGAAATTAAAAACAATTTATATGATAGTAAATCAGATTTCAATGAATCAATCAATTAGGTAATCAAACAATTATAATTGAGAAAAAAACAATAATTTTTATATCAAATTTTTTAATTAATTGTAGATTTATATAATAATAAAAATAGATAACTAATCAATCAAAAAAAAAATATAATAATAATAATATATTGAGACGCCATTCATATATATGTTTGTGTGTGTGTTTGCGCGCGTCCGCTACCATCACCCCCACCACAACCACATGTCTATTGTCGGGCGTATTTACGGACAGATGACACACTGCCGACGGTAGCCGTAACCACCAGTTCGGGTCCAGTAAACTCGCGGACAATCTTAACCTCTTTGTCGCCGTACTGGGTTTGGATCAGTTTGTTGCCGTCGGCCACCACTACAGTCTATATATATATATATATATAATTGTGACAATAAATAATAGATTAGTTATCTTAATAATATCAATAATAATTTACATAATTTTCATTTATTTTTTTTATATATTTAAATAAACTAATTATAAGGTTATTACCGATAAATAATGTTTTTTATCCCTAAAATTTTTTAATTTAATTTTTGTTTTATTCAATCAATTCCTAAATTATTTTTTAATTTATATTTATCGGTATCTATCTATCTATCTATCAGTCTATTTCTCATTGAAATAGTATACATCTATCTAAGCCTCTAGGTGTTGTAACCCAACCCAACCCAACCCTACCCATCCACTCCCAGGTAGGCCTACAAACCTTGATATTTTTGCCATCCATACGGGCCTCTTCAAACTCCTTTCCCAATTCAAACTTGATCTCCGAGTTCTTGATGGCCGTCAATGTCTTCAGCGAATAGGTATCGCCATCTTTGCTAATCTCGACGACCGGTGTCGATGTTTTTGCCAGATTTCTCAATACAAAATTCACACCTATTTTTGTGTAATTGATTTAGGAAAATAAAAAATAAAACAAACAAAATATGTTTAATACTACCGGCAATAATATTGTATTTTTTTTGTATTAATGAATATTATTTTTTTTTGGTTATTTTCTTATTTTTATTTATGTATGTTTTTTTGGTGAATGCAATAAAATTTTATTTTATTACTGTTATTACAATATTATAGTAACTATTCTTTAATAGTAATAAACCCATAAAAATTAAATATTTTTTTTTATAATATAATTATCAACTGAATATGTAAATTAAAATTAATTTCAATTTAAAAAATAAGTATTAATTATAATAACTATTCAATAACTATTAAAGTATCAAATATTACTTTATATCGCTATATAAATTAAAACTAAGCATAGATTATAATTGTAATTTATTTTTTTATTATTTGATGATAAATTTTATCCCTCAGTCATAGATATCACTGTCTAGTAGTTTAGTAAAAAAAACCGTAAATTAATAAATAAATTAAAAATAAAAAAAGATACGATAAACTAAAACTAATTTAACGGATTTTAATGTACTTATTATTATTATTATTATCAATAAATATAATTTATTATTAATCAAATACTGTATTATATGTGTGCATAAAGTTTTCAACTGTATTTGTAATCAATTTATTATTATTTTTTTTGGCTAATAAATCAAAAATAAAACTACTAATAATTAAAATCATTTATAAAATTTTTAATATATTTTTCTTATTCAAAGTTCATAGTTTATAGTCTATGAAAAGATATAGTATTTTATTTTTTGATTAATAATTATATTATTATCAAAAAATAAAATTAAAAATTATTTTTTTAGACACTTTATAGATGTTTTTGAACGTTTATTAAATATATATAAATATTAGAAAAACAATTAAAATTATTGTAAATACCGATAAATTATTTTTCTATTATTTGATATTAAAATGACTATAATATTATTAATATTATATTGATATATAATTTTTTCCTAAACTATTAGTACATATTTCTAATTAGCAATTAGTACGTTATGTCCTAAAAAAATATACAGTATATATATACAAAGTACAGCACTGGTAGCTCAACAAACAAACAAATTCACACCCACCCCTACCCACCAATTATAAACTACAGTACAAATTCAATGTTATATCTATAGAAAAAATGAGATAATTATGTTTTCAAAGTCCAACATTAATATAATATACAATATATAAAAAATTATCATAATTTACAGTAATATACTGTATTATTATCATCAGTACTAAAACAAACAGTTATTAACCTTAAAGATAAAAAACACCCAATTGATTATGTAATCAATTGATAATTTAAATTACATTAAAATAATAAATATACTGTTATATTACAAATAAATCATTGTATATTGTATCTTTTAGTTTACATATTATGTATTACATAACACACACACACACACACACACACACACACACACACACACACATATATATATATATATTTATTTATAATAGAAAATTAATAAAATTTGATGTAAATTTTTATTTATCTATCATTTTGACTTAACAAAAAATGCTGAGAAAATAAAACTTATTTGTTTATAATCTCTATTACTACTAAATTTTTTTTAGTCTATGAAATTGAAATACCGGTGCCATAAAATACACCCAGTGTAGTCCCAACCAGTTTTTATATACAGTATTTAATGGTCTGATATAATAATAATAGCAAATACTAGTTGTGGTCCGCGATATGTTTGGGGACTACTACTACTACTACTAATAATAATAATAATAATAATAATAATAATAATAATACATGTTTTAAAGTACATGGAAATAATAATACTCAAAAAAATGTACTCAAAATTTTTATTTCAATGTCAACTAACAACTACTACCACTAAAAATATTATAGTTATATTGAATCCAAAGTTTCATTATATATATATATAATATAATTTATTTTTATAATGGGATTTGTTGTGTACTGTATTTAAAAAGCTATGAGAAACCGGTCTAAAGTCTATATATATATATATATATCTATTTATCTATTTCCTCAATATAAATATTATTATTATATAACAACAAAAGTTAATTATCAAGCAAATAATAATAATAATAATAAACATTAACATCATTATTGTTAGTTATATTTTCATACATGATGTATTTTCTGCTAGATGATTCATTTATAATTATGATGAAAATATAATGTGTGTATGTTTTAAATATGATATATACTGTATATATATGTTTTGTTTAAACCCATTAAAATATTTGCATATCATTTAGCATAGAAAATAAAAATATTGTTTCAAAGAAAAAGAGAGAATATATTGAAATATATTTTTTTATTTAATTTCTACTAATTATTTGTTTTAATGTAAATTTTTAATGATATTTATTTTAGGTGAATTAAAATTAACCTATCAAAATTAAAACATGATAGTTTATTATTATTATCTTATTAAATTATAATTTAAATGCAAAACAAACTAAATACTAAATTTTGAAAATAACTATTATTTGAAATACTCCAACAAAATAATTTTTTAATTTGAATCTATTTAAACAAATACAATACAATTACTATATATATATATATATATATATATTGCCAATTAGTAGTAGTAGTAGTAGTATACCAATTGGTAAAACATGTATTGAAATTAATTAATTAATTTCAATAAATGTGTAATTTTCAATTAGTAGTTTTTTTTTTAAAAATTCACAAAACATTTTACCGGTAATTTCTATTTCTAGTTATAATAATATATTTATTTTAAATAATTAAAATTATTTTTTATGTGTATTATTAAACACATGTCACACTTATCACACACTATGTATGATTCAAACAGATATTTCAAAAATTTTTTTTACTGTATATCTGTATAAATAATATGATATTTATTTAAATAAATTATTAAATAAATTATTAATAATGTATTAAATATTTTCTTAGAAATATTAAAAAAACATTTGATAAAATATATGAATATTTAATAAATAAATAACAAAAAAAAAATCATCAAATATTACACACATAAACAATAATTCAAGGTTTGTGAAAATTAATATTTTTTTTTGATAAAATAATATCTGAAATTTGATATTTTTTTTGGTAAGTATTATCAAATCAATCAAATGTATGATATTTATTGTGTGCAAATAATTTTCTCATTATGTATACGATATAATTATAAATTACTACTAATATTATTAAAGCAAACTATATTTAAACATATAATAACTTTGTGTTTAATTTGGTAATAATATTGTCTATAAAAAATTAAAAGTAAATACAAGATTATTATTAATAATATAAAATTTAAGCCCCAATAATGATTACTATGATTATGATTATTAATAATAAAAAAAAAATTTTGTGAGGGGAGAGGGGGTACGGATGTAAGTCATCATCAATCAAAATACAAATTAAATACAACTAATAAAAAATTTACAAATTGAATGACAAATGAAATAATTTAACCAAAAAAAAAATAATAAAATATTAAATGTTATGAAAAAACTTTTGAAAATTATTATTTCACTCTCTCTAGTAATAGACTATTATTATTACTACTATTACTACTAATAATAATAATTTATAATATTTTTGTAATAACTTAAACATGTGTTTTATATATATATACAGCATATCATAATATATCATATTTTTTTAAAAAAATAGTATTGATGTGTTAACTATAATAACAAATATGTTAATAATATTAACAAATAATAAAATTGTTTTTTAACATTTTTAAAAAAAATTAATTGGTCTGGGTAATAGTTAGGTTATGGGGGGAGGGGGTAGAGGAGGTTAAATATTATACATTTGAATTATGTGGTCAATAAAATTAATTTTCATTACACCCATAAGTTTTCGCACACATTTGTATACTAGAGTGTGGGCTAACATACATACAGTGTGTGTGTGTGTGTTAGTTAAATGCCACAAAAATTTTAATAAGAGGGTGTATAGGGGGGGGGGGGGTTATTGTTGTTAATTTAGGTGTAGGTTAGATATTGATACCCCCCCTCCTGTATGACACAAACACATACCTAACTCTTTGAGAAACTCATCGAAATTGTCGCTTGAGGTCAGTTTGAATTTGCCGGTAAAGTCGGTCATTTTCTTGCGATTTGTTTGTTGGCGGTAATTGTGGTTTGGGCACCTGTAGGTGGAGGTCGGGGTGGGTGGGGTATTCAACAGGGAACGGATGATCCAACAAATAAACAAAAATCAAAATTATTATTTATGAAAAATTATTTTCAATCAAACAAAAAATTTTATAAAAAAGTTTTTTTTTTTTTACAAACCGATTGATTGATTGATTTGGACAACACTTCCAACTCTACTATTAATATTAAATTTAACAAAAAATACCGAACCGTTTAAATAGACGACTGTTTTTATGTATGCGTTTAACCGATTAAATAGGACTGACTGTCTATCTGTCTGTCTATGCGTTTATTGTGTGCGCTATTTAAACACTTGTGTATGTGTTTTGTATGGATAAATAGCAATGTGCTCTCTCTCTCTCTCTCTCTCTCACACACTTGCATACCCTCCCTGTGCTTTACACACACACAGATACTTTAGGTACAATGTTTAGTAGAGATTAGAGGAGGAGATACTAGTGCTGTACGACTAGTTTAAGCAGCAGTTTCTTTGGCGGTTTGACGGGTAATACCAATATATATATATATACCGATAGTATATACTGTAAAATAGGAAAAATTGTGTTTTACGGATAATTTACACATAATTTGTTGTAATTTTGTTACATTTTTAGTTTGTTTTTTAGACAAAAAAAAATAATAATATATAAAAAACATTAAATAAATTATAATTTTGTGGTTATTGTAATGATTTGGGTTTGAATTTTAAAAAAAAAAATGTTTTAATTATCTGATTTTACTTTATTTTCCTACAATACTAATCGTTTTTTACTATATTACGGTTTGGTTCTAATAAAATATTGTACTGTAGTTTACATACTCTAGTATTAGATGACAACTCATCCCTCTCTCTCTCTCTCTTTCTCTCTCTTTCTCTCTATACATGACATGACATTCAATAAGCATAACACAGTGTATACTATACATGCATACACTGTATAGCATTGATAGCGCTTTATAACCCAAACCACGCGATGGGCGGGTGTTGTGCTCTTAGTTGTGCTAAACGTTTGTGTCTATAGAGAGCACCAGTAGATGTGAAATAAATACCAGCGCTCTCTCTCTCTTTACAGTACATTACGATAAGCCGGGTATCGATGATGTCATTGACTATTATTATAATATTATTTTATATAAACCCAAATATAATATATACAATAAATGACGCTTCAAATATTCAAATTAATTTTTTCAAAAAACTACATTGATAACTTTATTAATACAGTATTATTAATAGTAATAGAAAATTTTTAAAAAATTATTAATTAATATAAAAAAAATTTATTTATTTTTATTTTTTTTTAAAGTTAAAATAATATTATATATATATATATATATTAATTATAAAAATAAAAACCTTTAAAAATTAGATTCATTATAGAGATAATTTTTTTAATATTAGATACAAAACAATAAAAAATATCATTGATAATTTTATAAATATCAATTTTTATTAAATAAAATATTCAAATTTCAACTAGTTTAGTTATTTGTATTTTTAATTAATTTATAATTAATTTTAAGTTTAACAATTTATAAATATATCAATAAAATAAATTATAGTTTCTATTATTTACAATACAATATTTTATAATTTTTACAATAATTTATTTTTTAAAAATCTTTACAAGTGTTTAATGTAAATTTACTATTATTTAAAAATATATAATTATTGATTATAATACAAATTTTTAAAAAAATATTTAATAAGTAAAAAATCTATACTCTTTTTAATAATTTATTATTATTATATATTACAATTATTAATTAATAATTTTTTTTAATAATAAATTTATATAATACTAATTGTAATACTAATAATAATTTATATATTGAATTGACACCCGATTACCGGTTCACTGAATGCCAGAACCAATGGCTGAAAAACAATGAATAAACCACTGGATTATTAGATTGAATATATGTATGATATATGAATTCCCCGAATTTGATAGCGCCGGGAGGTTTTCATTGATGTGTGCAAAAAATTATGATTTTATTAATATATATATATAATTTACATTTGCCATTACTGGCCTATTAATAACTAAAAACAAAAAAAAAATTAACTAAATAATTTAATATTTTAATATTTTAATTATTTATTTTAATTGAAATGTTTATGAGAATAATATTTTTCTATAAAAATTATTATTATTATTGATATTTATAATTATTGTTTTTTTGTGTAAAATATTCTTCCAATAAACATTTTAATTAAATATATATATAATTTACTTAAAATGTTTATTGAATAATATTTTTTACAATAATAATAATTATTATTATTAATATTTATAATTATTTATTTTATTTGTAAACATTTTGTTTGTTTTTATATGTTTAATAAACTAATAATAAATTGTTTTATCTAATAAATTGTTATATTATTTTTTAAATAGATATAATTATCATTATTATAGTTGAATTATTTTTAGTATCAATTTTATACAATATAATTAAATATGTATATATATATAAATAATTGCATTAAATTGACCGTATAATTAATCGATATAAACTATAGATTAATAACAAAAAAAATTAGATATTATTTCTCAATTCAATTAATAATTTATTACTCTCTAATAAATTTAAATATAAAATTGATTAATCAATATATAATACAATTTTATATAAAATATTTATTAGGTTAATAACAAAAATATATAGTTTTTATAATAACTTTATAGTTAATATTTAAAATTATTAATAATATCATTATTATATAAATAATTCAATAAAATAGTATTATTGTTTTGTTATCATTATTTTATTTTTAATAAAATACAGTAGTATTCAGTAATAATATCTAAGTAAATAAATTATATTTACATTTATTTTATTTTTTATACAATATATTATACATAAAAATAAATATTAATGTATTGTAGTTATATTTATTAATAAATATATAATTTTATTTATATATATATAACTTATAAATAAAGTTATTTATTAATATTTATATGTTTTTAATATAGTAGTATACGATATATTTTTTATTTATTAATAAAAGCTCGTAAATGGTTTCTTGTTTATACAGTACTACTAATAATAATACTTATAATATTAATTTAATTTTTTTTATAAAAATAAATTAAATTAAAACATTAGTTTAATTACTAGTTTTATATTAATTACTTTCGTTTGAAGTAAACTTTCATTTAATTTTTTAATTAATTAATTTAATTAATAATCTAGCTTAATCACTGTATTTAAAAATAAGCATTATTAACAAACAAATATATATATATTTATTTATATATTATTTCTATTTGTTTTTTATAATTGAAAATTTAAAAAATAACTTTTATCCATAATCTATAAAGTTAATATATAATTATAATTAGTATCTTTTAAAATATTTTTTAATATATTTGCTATTTTAACTAGTACATTTTTTATTATTGTTGTTGAAAAATCTAGAAATCAAATCTATATGTATTAATAGGTGACTGTTGTGGACAATAGTCAGGCACTAAATCCATATCACTAATAATACTACTATGACTACTATGATTGGCACCTATACTATCGTTATCCTTTTTATTATTATTATTAACTTGATGTTCATTATTATCATCGACATCATCGGCACCGGTACTACAACGACCTGAACTGACGCTATGATAACGATACGACTGACCACTGCCGGCTCTACTGGTACTACCGCTAGCAGCCGCAGGAGCAGCAAAATAACCGCCAATACCGCCGCCAGTCGATAGCCAGGCATTGTTGGCTAATTGTGTTGCCGCCGCTACGGCCATCACCTGGGAATGATTGGGTCCGATGTGCAGGCGATCGCAATATTGACAGGAACTGTAGGTCGACGACGGTGCATATGTTTCCAGACACTTAGGGGTAGTGTCGTGTATGTGAAACAGTTCACAGGTGGCCACCCGACAGTAGTTTGACGGCGACCGACAAAGTCCACGACTATTGGTGGCCTCTTCACGGCTACTGCTGCTGCTACTGTTCCCGATGATCCCGGTGCTAACAATACTAGAAACACTGGAACTAGTAGTTAGTGTACTGTGTTTTCGGTGATGCCGTCGATGGCGGCTATTCCGGCCATGACCACTACCACCATCGATGCGACGGCTATTATCGCACAGTAGGCCATTGGTCAGCCAATTGCAGGCACATAAACGCTGAATATAGTCCATTAGCTCTACCAGTGGACAGTTGGTTATCATTTATTAAGTTAATTAAATATTAATTATATATATATAAATTTTGTATTAAATTTTTTAGTTTGAAAAATGAGCTTCACTTATATGAATACATTTTATAATTTAATTTATAATTAATTAATATTTTTACGAATTTTTTAAATTATACATTTTCTGATTATTATTATTATTGTTGATATTTAAAACAATTATTTATTTATTAATATGCAGCAATAATATACATTGTATTAAATAATTAATAATTAGTTAGATACTGTTTAATACTATGATACTAATAATTATTCACAATATTATTATTTTTTTTTAAAAAAACAACATTACTATAAAATAAAATAGTTGTTTAATTTCACTTTTAAAGTTGATTTTTACATAAAATTTATTAATATCGTTATTATTATTATTATTATTATTTTAAGCACATATTTTTTTTTGATAAAAATTTTAGTCCAATTTAGTCCTTTTATTCATTTTTATTATTTAGTTATTTATTTATTTATTTATTCACACATCAATATTCTGTAAACATATAAGTGTAGTGTAGTTTTTATTATTATTATTATTATTATTATTATTACATATATCAAGCACTGGTAGTTTATTTGGTGTGTATGTGTGTCTGTCTATACTGTTTGTATGTGTCTGGGGTGAGTGTTATCATAAGGAATACACTTAGGTTTACGTTTGCGATTTCCTTAAGTTAAGTATAGAGTAGCGTTACTACAAAATATTTTGTTTTACGCAAACGTAACTCTTTTTGTAGTGATAATAATACAGTGTTTTATTAAATTTATAAGTATAAATAGTTTAAACTATAAAATAAACATTACTATCAATGTTAAAGTATAGCTAAAGTTGGGTTAAAGCTATCCTAACTTTACACCTAACTCTAGCACTAACTTGTTTTCTTAACACACTTTTCACCTAAAAACCAGTTTTGTATACTTAAGTCCTCTCCTAACTTACCCGTAAACCTAACTTGCTAAAATGTTTTATAACACAGGATTTCACTTAAGTGAGGAGTTAAGTGCACGCAAGTTACGAATCTTAGTTGATAACACGCCGCCCTGGCCTTTAAAACTTTTCGTTGTGTTCACACATTGCATATACAGCTACTAAATAGCCACCAAAAAAAATCTCGTTGACTATTATTATTATTAT